TGACCCGGCCAGGGGGCTTCAGGCAGCGGCGCCGCGCGGGGATGCGGAGGAGCTCCGGGCGGTGCCCCCTGCCGTAGGAATCCTCGCCCAGGCGTGGCGGAGAGGCCCTCACCGGGCCAGCATCGACAGCACGGCCGACTTCACATCGGCTTCCCACAGAGACCGCTCTGCTGGCAGAACTAGCCGACTATAACGCTGGGGTCCGCGCCACGCTCCGTGCCCTGGCCCGCTCCTCTGCCCTGCACCTCGCGGACCGTACCAAGCACATGGGTGTGAAATTAATTCGAGAATTTCTGTGGCTCACGGGCTGGTACGCACAAAGCGACAGTGTGAGGCCGGCAGCTTTTACGTGGCTGCATGGCGGTTGTGCTGACGGGTGTTGGAAACGTAGTCTAACTTTTTGGGAGAAGCTCCCTTCCACTACAGAAATCAAACACAGTGTGGAAGCATACTGTGTACACTGCCCCTGTGTATAAATGTTTACGAGGGCCTGAACATATGTGACATGAGACCCTCATGGTTTTTAAGCAGAAGACACGTGGCATTTATTCTTAGAGTTAGGAAGAACTAATTTTTTTGTGCACCTCTGTCTCTAGGTGGGATGCTGACTTCCAGCCAAGCAATTGTCATATTAGAAAAAAAAAAATAAAAAAAATCTTAAGAAATAATAGTTATAATAACAGTGGAAATGTACTAATTTTTTTCCAGTAGGAGAGCAATGTTTGTGTTTCATGATGGCTTTACACATCCAAGGATGTTGCAGAGTTTATTCCATATATTCTCAGTCCTGAGCTTTTTCCCAGTGTAATATGGTTAATTGCAGCATCTTCCCATGGCTTGTCCACTCTTCTTTCATTCCCCAGCCCCTTTTCTGAGGATGGCAGAATTATGTTAAATAACTGTGAAATAATATTTCTTATGTCTGAATAATACAATGCAGTAAAGTACAAGCTATATTAGAAAACCAAATTGTATCCATGTTTCTGAGGAAGCATTTTAAATTAGCCTGCACGTATTTTCTTAAGATGTGACAAAAGTATTGTAAACGCCCCACCCTCTTGTTTTTTGTAAGCAGGGGTGGGTTTGTCAGTTCCGGAATAATATAAAAATAACAGCATAAACACATTCTTGTTATTAATGCATTCTACTACAGTATTTCATTGTCACGACCATCTATCCACTGGAAGTCAGTTGCACATCAAGGTCAGAGGCTGAGACACTGGCAAGTGAAGGCACACACATTTCATTAGTCAAATATGAAAAGGTTGGCCTAATTTTTAGGCAGAGCTTCCTCCTATCATTTCCAGATTGTGCAGTGCTTTGCAGTAGTTGGTAAGCAGCATCTTTTCAGCATGCATAAACAGTTACTGGAGAGAGTAAGAGGCCTAATCCAGACAGTTCAAACTTACATGGTATAGTTTCTTACATGTCAGTATTAGTGCTATTAGTGCCTTGTTTCCTGCATTCTTTTACCCATATTAATAACACTACACCATGAAGCTCTCATATCTTCATTGCTAAAATCCTGTCAAAGCAGGTAATTACTGAGCAATATAAGCGATGTAGGCACTCGATAGTACACATGAATTTCATTTTAAAGGTTGTTTCATTTTGTTGTTAACAGATCTCTCTATTATACTTGATACCTTTGCTGGCCATTTCAGAAAAGAGGCCAAGATAAGGACACCTTGCATGTAATGTAGTTTTTTACAGCTGTACAAAATAGATATACAGTGGTTCTAAGTAGAACAATTGTGTTTTGTGTCTGCTTCATACAGTTACAAATGGTTTGTGAGTTAGTTGCAAGGCAGGCCACCTATTAGGTCTGTAGAAGCACAAGGATTTTTTCACCCTTTAAGAGAGATGAGTTAGCTGAGCTATGCTGGTATGTTCAGAAAATAGAATGCTTGCATTTCCACTGCCTTTGATTTGTTCTGTCCATAGTGAAAGAGAGAGCTGTATTTTCTTGGGTTGTCAATCCAGGACCTTTTGCAAACACTGATGTCATGAAGAGGAGAGGATAGTAAATATTTCTGGGTTTCCATTTTTCTGTATGTGATTTCAAGCAAATTAATCTCTTTTTATGCCCACTTGGAGATATTTCTGGCTTTCATCAGCTGCTGTTATCAAGAGTTTTAAGGCGTTAGTAAGTGTGAGGAATTTTTCAAGGGACAGCAAGACAGCAAGTGCTGAAATTTTTTAAGTTACTTGCTCATTATTGTTTTAGAACTCCGCTCAAGTTGCATTTCTAGATTTTTCTGCAAAAACTTGTGTCATCAGGTGAGACTTTCCTGTCACTTGTGTGTAACTGGTATAAGTTTTTGAGAGTGATGCCCTACCTTGTGGCAGGCTCACACTGGCTGCTGTGCACAGCCAGCCTGCACTGAAGTTGGTGCAGTTCAGCTCAGATAAAGCGTTTGTTCAGTTGCGTGCACAGGGGGATTTGGGGCTTCCAAGATGCATGTCCATGGCATTTGTGTGAGTTCATCTGGGTTTGCCTGCTTTGTGCTCAACTGGCAGAGGGGTATCTCCCTCCCAACTGCATGTCCCCTTCTAATTAATCCATGGCAAAACATAAAAGACATAAGCAGCCATGTGTCTGTGCTCTGTCAAGAGAGAAAAAATATTTCCATTCACTTTGTTCTTATTTAATAACAACAGGGAAAATAGTAGCATTGATATAAATAATAGTAATGGGGACAATTTTATTTTTTTTTTAACTCCTTTCCTTGGGGGCCTGCCATGGAGCTCAGCAGTGCTGGGGAGGGGACTGAGTTGGATCCTTAATTACCATCTTCTCTTTTTCTCCTGCCCAGGGCAGAAGCTACCTGCTGCCTGTGGAATTGACCTGTCCACTGGTAGCCCTTCCAGTCTGAGGTAGACACATGTTCCATGGCCACTGTAAATGAATTCAGATAATAAAAAGGAAGCTTGGAGTAGCCAGCTGCAGCCTGAGCCTGCAGGCCCTGGATCCCTTTGAGCTGCTACCATGGCTGACTACAAGTGACGGTTGTCATGTGAGCAGGGAAGGAAGGCCATAAGGCAACTGTGGGAGCATATGCTTTATCTGCGTTAAGCTTTGCACACAGCCTGGGGAGAAGCATGGGGAAGAAAGGGTGAGGCAGATGCAGCCTTATGGAGAACGTCCCACCTCTGTTGCTTTTTTCCTGTGGCCTGTGCCCACCCACAGTCCATGGAATAGCGTGGCATCCTCCAGGTTAAAAAACACTGGAGCAGGACAATGCATTAGTGGGCCTATTTTCCTCCCCAATGCACTTGTATAACATGGTAACATTAATAGCAATTTATGTGCAAGCAGTGAAGGGAGGAGGCATTTTAGCTGAACTAAAGCTGCAGAATATTCACTCCAGAGTAGGAACAGAGCCACAGGATCAGTGCAGGACAGCCATTCTTCAAGAAGCACACTTCTAGGAAGTTATTGTTCCCACCTCAGCTCCACTTTCAGTTTCTTGAGAACTCAACAGAAGTTTGTAGAAGTCAAAGAAAGGGCCAACTTGTTCTGTTCATTTCTCTGTAGGAGGGCACAGTTATACTCTGACTATATTTCTTTGTTCCTATTCCTTACTCCTGTTCTTTCACAACATTAAAATAATCAGGGTATTTTCTTTATAATTTTGAGATTCTGCTTCTGAGTGTTCTTTTTCTATACTAGTGTATCTAATCATCTAACTCCTACTGTCTCCTATCAACTGGGTTTGTTTTTTTTTTTTTTCAATGCCTCTTTTTACTAGAGGAGCATTAGTAACTGCAACCCTTTAACAGAGCCAGACATTAAGAGCATTGGATCCTACAAGCAACCTCTGGCCTAAGTTACTACCACTTTCAATTGACAAGTTAGACACAAGAGCAGGAAGGGGAACAGACAGGTGAAATGACCTGCCAGGAGTCTCACAGTATGGAAGCAGCAAAGTCAAAAATCAAATCTGAGCTTCCAACTTCCAGTGCATTGCTCCATCCATTTCTTTCTCTGCTACTCTGAGATTTCTCTTTCATAGTTCCTCCCTTTTTCAGAAAAATATAACTCCACCTTGAAGAACTATTTACCATTTTTTTCCTGCTTCATAAGGAATGAATAATAGGTTAGCCAGAACATCCACGTCCATTTGAGTCTATCATCTCCGTGAAAAACTCCATCTGACCCTGCAAGACATTTAGGTATATATTAAACTAATATATATTAACTAACCATACTAGGGTACATGAAGTATACAATGTCAAGAATAGTGAAGCAATTGTCTGCTAATCTCTAAACTCAGTAGATTTTCCTTGTTCTTATAGAAGTATACTGCAGTACACAAAATACCGGTTCAGACCTTCTTGCCTGATGTAGTGTAGCCCTTTGAGTCAGTCTAGTGCAAGCAAATCAGTTTCCACAGCCAATGACACTCAAAAGCAGCGGGTCTGTCATTCACATCCAGTAACTTGGGATTCCTTCCCTCACTGACAAAGTCCCTGTTGAGAGCTGGGCCAAAGCATGGCAGCTTTCCCTCAACGCCACACTTCCAATTTTTACAATTCTGTTTTAATTCTCATGTAAACTGCAATAACATCTAACTGCTTTGAGCATAAAATGTAATTGGAACTCATATTTCAATTTTAGATTGTTTGCCCCTTATTACATTTTAGTGCTATCAAGTAGGTTTCTTCCTCTTCCACCCAAGGGTCTCTTTTTCATATCTCTGTTTCTGGTATTATTAAAGCATTTATTTTTTTGCTTGTTATTCTTTTTCTATAAATGTTCATAGTGCTTTAAAGAAACTACAACTCTGTTCTAGTGTCTTTCTTCAACCTCCAGAGTACCACCAGAGACTTCAAAGCTACCTCACAAATATGTATTTACTTCTGTCTAGAAGAATGAGGACAATCAAGGAGCAAAAAGTGCTGAGCCTGGTAGGGCCACTGCTTAGCTGAAGAGGATGTTGTTGAGTCTGTGCTTGACAAGTGTCAAGTGCCTACAGTGACTCAAGTGAAAGAGCAGCACCCATGAGGTCTGAGCATGAATCCTTGCAGCTTGGTGAGCTTCTCAGAGGCATGTCTCACTGCCCCACTGCCACACTTGGAGTTATGTTCATCCTGAGACCACAGCACGATTTTTTTTGGCCACACAATGTTGCTACCATTTGTAAAGTAAACAAAGCAAGTGACCATTTGACCCTGAATAACAAAAGTATGCATTAGTCATTGTACTACTCAAAGACAAGGTATTTGACTCTTAACTTTTTATATCTAGAGAAATACAGAGCACTGCAGATGTAACATTTGGGATCTTGTTCATCTCTCCAAAGAGGCAGAGATCAGGCTTTTATTCCTTCAGGTGGTGACACAGTGAAGACAGAGAACACCACGAAGAAGTCCTGGCTCAGCTCCTGTCAAAGAGAAAAAAACACCCAATCCAGTGAAGCACAAAGACAGGGAACCACATCTAGTGTTTCCTTTTGGAAGCATTGCTTTTGTAATTCAAATTTTAAGCTTTACAGAAAGATGTAGGGTAGGGAGCAGATCTGGATGGATCTTGAGACCTTCTAGGAGGAAAAAGAGAAAAGGAAGGAAAAAAATTCGTATCTTGGACTAGTAACACCTACTATAAATATTCTTGTAGGAGCAAGGCTGTGCACTGCTTCAGTGCATCCAGGTGAGAGGCCTCGTGAGAGGAAATTAAATCAGAACATTGCATTGTTTCTGTTCCACTAGGTTCAAATGGAGAAGAAGGTGAAACTTTAAAAAGGGCACTTTCTCCTGCTCCTCCCTGTTCCAGCATGAGAATCCTTGTCAGGCCAGCCTGTAAGAACTGGCTCTTTTGGAAATATATGGTGTGCCTTCCTGTGTGCCTTCTTAATGGGGCTTTTCCCTGAAGTCAGCAGGTTCTCATGGCTTTCCCCAGTGCCAAGTGCTGCAGCAAGGAAGATACTTTACTCTAGGAAGCAGGCAAATTCCACATTGCCTGTCTGCCAGCCCTACTTGGTTTAGCCCTCAAACACCAGTGGTGGGTATGCATTTCCCTTGTTCTGATTGTCTGCAGCTCTAGCTTAAGCACTTGTTTGTGTTGAAATCTCTGTATCACTAGAAGTTACATCCTTCACTGGTTGTAATGCTGTGTCTCCTCCTAACTTTATAAAAGGTAGAGCTGATCCATATTTTAATTTTTAACTCCATCAGCAAAAAATCAGTTTGATAATACTATCCCATTTCTTTTCAAATTATGATTTTTGTCAGTTGTTGGTTTGGGGGTTTATATCTCTGAAGGGGAGGTAGAAGTACCTATATTTGCATGCAAAATTTTAAGTTTTCAAATGCTTTCAAAATTAAGAATTTTCATGTTTCAAATAAAAAAAAAATCCTTAAAAGTGCTCCAACCTGAACATAGCATTTTTAGTACACTTTCCCTGGCCTTCAGCATCAATTTTCTTCAACAAATATTTTGGAAAAATAATCAGTCCAGTTTGACACAAGTGATCTGTTGTAATTTTATTTTATTTTATTTTATTTTATTTTATTTTATTTTATTTTATTTTATTTTATTTTATTTTATTTTATTTTATTTTATTTTATTTTATTTTATTTTATTTTATTTTATTTTATTTTTATTTTTTACTTCCAGCAATTTGAAAAATCAGAGGTTTGCACAGCCATGTCTTCATTTTTTTCAAATTGAAAATTTGCCTTGTGGAAAGCATGCAGAGATCTGTGGTGAGATTTATGGTCTGTGATGAACTGGGTGTTCATAAAGAAACCTTAAAACTGTGACTCTCTTGAAGTCCTACTGAGAAGAACTCAAGTCATGCATGTTCAGCAGTGCTCAGATTAATAATTATTTCCCCTTCATATTCTTAAATTTCCATATGACTGTTGCTTCCACTCTACTTTTTCTGCACATATTAAAGCCTTATTTTGGAAGGTACTAGAGCTCTTTACCTAGATCCCAGGTAAAGGAAGGTTTATAAAACTTCTGTTGACTTTGAGGGAACTGTTCATGCATATAAGCTTGAGCCTGTGCATGATCTTGGTTCTTCCAAAAAAGACCTGCCCAGAAACAAATGACTTTGGCTTCAAAGGTCTGACACTTCTTTGTCTTTCTTGTGAAAAACAACATACTTCTTTCTTCAGAACTTTACAGTTGGTGAGCAAAATCCTAACAGTGTGAAAAGTAATGATAGACCTCGTTCACTACCGCAGAATCTTCTCCTGCTATCATGAGTTTATAAATACTTGCCAGGGTCTTCTTTTGCAGTACAGCTGGTAACAGCTAGATAGAAGACCTGGTATGAGATTTCTTACTCAGACAGTGCTACATACCAATTTTTTGTTAATGGGAGGAACTGAGGGATTTAGTTTGTGTAATGTTTGCTTATATAGCTTTAAGGTTATGATAATTTTTATTTATATTTTTCTCGTTGTGCTTCTGAGTGCACGTATGCAATACTCTCTTTGCTTTCAGTATTTCACAAATAAGCCTGAAAGAAGATGCTGAATTGTCAAAAAAAGTGAAGCCTCTCTCTGGCTGCCTCCACAAACTCAAACACAAAGTAGCAATGCTGTGTGAGCCCATTCTAAGAAGGGTGCTGTACTAAACCATGACAAAGTTATTGGAAAGGATCACATTCATGTCAATCAATGCTGGGTGGTCCTTGAACTCTGCCCTTGTATACCCTTTGGCACTGGTGTATAATTTAGATCTCAGTGTCTTTGTATCCACACATGCAGGTGTAACAGGACTGTGTGGATGAGTGGAGCAGAAGCTGTGCCCATGCACCCTCTTGTTTCCTTTCCTTACCACACAGGATGTTAACTGCTGTGGGAAGCGTTATTTCCTTAAGGAAAAATACTCCTGGTATTTTATATCATACTTGACAGGAACCCCTTCACCTTACAATTTCAAATGAATACATTTCATTAAAAATTTTTCATATTTCTTATGCAACATGTGCCAAGCAGAATGTTTGTCTTCATTGAATTGTTTGAATTTGCTATGAAAATAAGTAAATAAAAACATTAAGTGTAAATGACATTTCCCTATGGACATTCTCATGAAAACAAGCAAACAAACAAACAAACAAACATACAAACAAACCAAAACCAAATAAAACTCAAGCAGCTGTCTGGCAAGAGGAAAATTGTATGGGTAAAAATATCTGCTTGCTTGATTCCACATGCAGCTGTTTTTCAGGGAATGGAAATGCTTCATTGTGGAGGCCTCTAACCTCATACAGGCAGAACCTTATTACATGAGGCTCGATTGTGGAGCTGTAATATGTGTTGGCAAGCACTTTCTCAGCAGGTACAATGACCTAAGTAAATGCCCACCAACACAAAAAAGGTCCTCACAGTTCCACCTGCCTGTTGATACACTTTCAGAGTGAATACTGGACTGAACTCCATTGTACACACCAGTTAACAAGCAGAAAGAGGTAAATACATGGAAATGGGGTGAGCATGCAGGCCTGAATACAGATTATTGCCAGGGGTAAATTCATTTACACAAAACATACATTCATCCAGCATGTTTGTGGGGTTCATGCCATGCACGCAGGGCTGGACATGACCAAAATACAACAGTTTTTCCTAATTTTGTGCCTTTCAGCATAGGAAAGCACATGATTAAAACCAAATATATCCCTAAGGATTCAAACATTTAATTGGGGGACCCATTTCCAGAATGTTTTATCATGTTTCTGAAATGGGGCAGGGAAAACAAAGACACCACTAAGCTATGGTGTACACAAACAGAAGCGTGGACTGAAACTATTGGACATCAGTTGTGATTGAAAAAAACTTACTGGGAGCTAGGACAGGAATCACTTCAGCTATCTGCTAGTTGAATAATTTGAGATGTTTTACAACAATGAATTCTCTAATGAAGTACTGCCAATCCAAATGAACTGGCAACAATGGCCTCAAAACAGTGCTAGGTGCAAGAGCCTCGTCCCACAGGTGCCTCACTGAGCTGCTTTGAATGTCAGTGCCTCTAAATGGTTCAGCATCTGGATACAGAACACACCTGGGAGGCTGTGGGCTTTCATGGCCCTTACTAACAGAATAGCTAGAGAATTAGACCTCTCCTCCAACATTCAGGTTAGGCCAAGTCTGTCTATAGTCCAATGAGAAAGTATATTTTAGGAAAATGAGAGTGCAGGGGCCACCATATGTCAAAACTTGGTTATTGAAGTAGATAGTTATATAAAGGTTTCTTTGTAGTTCTTCTTTTGAAAGTGTTGCCTCTGTATTAAGTTGGTTTGATTTCTGATCATAAGCATTGCCCCCTGAGGAAGGGAAGAGAGGGAAAAAGTCTTGCTGACTGTTGATATGTTGTGTTTTCTGCTGAGATGTTCCGTCACGGGAGGAAAGGCTGGAACACCCCTTGTCCTCCAAGACACATTCAAGTAGGAATATTGGGCACACTCTGTTTCATGTAATATCACCACCTTAACTTCCCTTTTGTCTGCATTGGTTTTTTACCCTGCTCACACTTGGGTGGAAATGGTCCATTGTCCACTTACTTATTTTATTGCTTTTCATATTTCAGAATCTCTCTTTATGCTGAACACAGCCTCTTTAATCAAGGGAAAATGAGTTTGTTCACATTTATACTCCTTTATTATTTACTGCTAGTAATAGATAGAGAATACTTCCTCAAAACTAGTTTTTATATAATAAACTGAGAAGGTTTAATGAAAAGGCCCAAAAACTTTTTAGGCATTTTCCTGTTACCATGAATAATGATGCACTTTCTGTAAGGGTAGTATTAGATTTTGGCTAGAAAATTGCATGGTTGCTACCTTCCCTGTTACTGTTCATCACCTTTCCAAGAAAAGGCCTAGCTGGTGACATCTTATTGCTGTTTTTGTTAGAATACAGCCTTTCATTTGAAATATTTCTTTGACCTCTTCTTGTCCAGCTTTACTCAGAGCTTTTACAATGACACTGAAGAAAGTCCATAGTGTGATTTTGTCAGATTCTTATCCCTGCACAGAAATCTGTAGGGTTAGCCTGCTTTCCTTGTGTCAGTAACCAAATACATACATTGACAATGGAACTAATTTTTCTTTTGCAAAACAACTGTATGCTTTGAGAAATTTTGTGTATTGCTTGCTAATCGATTTTATGCTGAACAGGCATATGTGTATGTGTGAAAAAATGGGGAATAATATACAGTATTCAAAAGTTTCAATGTAGTAACTGTCCTAGGCCACTTTTGGACTCCTTTATGAATGATGTGGAATTTTAGCATAATAATAAAAGGAAGGTCAATTTCTTTAGGTGTTCTTTTAGAAGCCCTCCTTTTCTCACTATCCATGGATTCAGAGATAATACAACAAGGATGCTAGCACAGACTGTTTCAGCATTTAGCCTTTCACAGCACATGGTGCTT